CCCTGCCTGCTGGACCCCCTTCACCCCATATCCTCTCAATGCTTTCATAAGCCTGCTTGTATGAATACATTGAGATTGCAAAACCCTTGTTTTGTGCTACAAAGCCAGGTACCAAAAGCTACAATAGTTATAAAAATTACCCAATGCAATTTTCTGCTTATTCAAAACTCCCCTTGGCCTTGAGGGGATCAGTGCAGTAACAGGCTAGCCTGTTTCCTCCCAGCAGACTCAGCAAGCCTTTATGGTACTTCTGTTGCATCAATATTGAAAATAGTCCATGTTTTATTGTAAATTACTGTTATTTGCAACTTCCAGTTTTGCAGTTCCCACTGCAGAGAGATCAAGGACCCAATTTTTCCTTTGTATCCATCAGCGTAAATCAAGATTAACTCCAGTAAAGTCAGTCTAAACCACAAGTGTAAAACTAGGAGGAATGAAAGGAAAATCAGTCCACAAACTACTTGGGTTCTTTTATTTTTAAATAGCAAAATTAATGCTGCTGTTCTGCAGACACAGGGTGACCTGCAAAGTACTATCTCATGCATTACTAATGTATCTCCATTTAAATGCAGATTTTTGCTCCTAACACAGAACTTCAGGGAAATCCTCTCCAGATAAACTGTAACAGGATACCAAATGGTGATTCAATATTTCACTTTAGCTTGTGTTTCAGCTTATTGATCTTTATTTTCTATCATTTTGATGAAGCATTTGCCTAGGGGGAAGAGGATTACATTCACTATAATATGGCTTTTAATTAATAATTAATTATTTTAATATTCCAAACATCCATGCCAGAATTGGCAATCTGCTTGTATTCCTTTCCTTATTTCTATTTTCGGTGGTGGAAACCAGCAAGGTGTGACTTTACATATTTCAGGAAGTATTGAAACACCTAGTTGAGAAAAGGAAGCATAGTATAAGTATCACAGTATTATGCTTATCATGATATTGTTTTGTTCTAAGTCATTTGTGGTAACGATAAGAACCTGACATGATTTGCTTTTGCTATATATGACAAGTTTATGATGAAGTTTTTCTCTGAATATGCCTCCCTCAAGCCCTGTGTGTGTATGAATATATATATATCTATCTCCTAAATAGTACAATGAAGTTATAGAAATAATGTTTATAAATCTACTAGATCATGAATAGAATTATTAAGAGATTACCTGATAGTGTGAGTTAGTGTTTCTGCAGCACCCAATATGATGTCTCCCAATCTATTTATTAGTCCACACTATTTCTCAGTTTCCAGGCTGAAAGCTGTCAGCACAAGGATTGCAAGCAAGGCTTAGGTCTCATTTATGGTACCATCAACTCAAAAATAACTCCCAACTGTGGTAGAGGTATAAATATGATAAGATTTCGAAAAAAAAATTCAGGTTTGGGTTTTTTGTTTGATTATTTATATATCTGGACTACTTATAGGTGCATTTTGTTAACATTTCCAAATGTTGTTCTTGCAACCTTAAGTCATCAATTCTTAAATTAACATTAATTCTTAGATTGACATTGTCCACATGGCATCCTTAGATTTGCATATTTTAAAAAAATCAAAATATGAACATTAAAATCGTGGAAATTGGCAGTCTCAGGGTTAGTTTTCCTCTTTAGTCATATAACCTGGTCAGCAAAAGAATAGTGATCTTTGTGATTATGCTCCTTTGGGAAGCTTACCTACATGCCCTCAAATTTCTTCTCTAAATTATTTCCAACATTCTCAAACACTAGCAGATTCAAACACCTGAAAAACAAAACAAAAACTGCTAGAAAAACATTCCTCCACTACCTCATCAAAATAAAAGTCCTCTCTATGCCCATGTTTCGATCTGAATTAATGGTATGTTGCAATCTATCAGAAAGTCATTACTGATAGGGCACACCACAAAAAGCTGTCTCTGATTGTGTTGGGTTGTTGGGTTTTTTTGCTGTAGTTGTTTGTTTGGAGTTTTTTTCCCCAAAAATAAAGGCAGGAACAGCATTTGCTTTTAATATTGAAGTCTATGCTGGACTGGTGGAGAGTAATGTGAAACACTATATAGCTACAATGGAGGAGCTGGGTATTTTTCTCATCAACAGTCTATTATCAATAAACACAGTCTGAATGGAACCAAAGCACTAAGCAAAACTTCTAACAGTGCTGGAAGCAGGTGTGGGGGGGTTGTTTTTAATAAATCACTTATGGGTTTATCCAAATGAGTTCTTAAAAGTTCTCATGAAAAACAAGAGACTAGTATTTGTCTAAAAGAAAATTTTCAGTGATCCAAAATAAGATTTCTTTTAATTAGAAAATTCTAGAGTTCCCAAGTTTTTGAGATTTAGATAATTTTTTAAATCAAAATGTGAAATCCTTTATTAAAATTGGGTTTGCTACCCAGCAAAACTATAAATGCTAAATATTAGAAAACAAAAAAGTGTTTTTCTTTGGAATGCATTTCATGAGAAATAATCTCAAGAGCAAGAATGGGTGTTGTAATAGGGCTTTTTCCCAAGGCATAAGCTCTTGCTAGGACTTAACAAATATAACTGAAATTCATTTAAAAAAAGGAATGGATCAGGTATGAACTGATAAAACTTCCCACTTCTTTGACCTTGTAAACTTCACACACAGCAGGACGTTTGCCTAGCAGCAGTATGTATGTACATCCTCTTTATTTCCTTTACTGGCTCAAACCTAGTTCTTCACATTAATTACTGTTCATTTACTGAATGGAAAGCATGCATTTTTAATTATGTTAGTGGAAATGTTAGCTGGTTGTGGTCCATCTGACCCACGTGAATCACCAGTACTGTTTTATAGTTTTTGCATTTTTTCACTCCAGCATTTCAAACTGTGATCCTTGTGAGAAGAAAACCTGATAAAGATAAAAGGCTCCATCTAGCGGGCAAGAATTTTCTATTTAAAGAAAAAAAATGCTCTCATTTTCACTTAATTTTATGCATGAAGAAATACAGCTTTAGATTGTGTTTCATTAAGCTGCCATGTTGTTGTTAATTCTTGCCTTCTACAGAGCCATTATTTCATATGCAAAGCTGTGAAACATTAAGTATTATTCTGACTCTTGAGCAAGAAGCAATAAATGATACTAAATGAGTGGGTTTATACAGCAGTTGATCCACAAAGTTCTTCCTCCCCACTCCCTTCAAGCTTCAACATATAGTAACCAAAAATGGGTAATTTGTGTGTCAATAATTATTTTAAATTATTTATGGTTCTTTCCTACTTAAAACTGACTGGCAGCATTCATAACTTAACACTATTTTGGGAGTATTTTTACACAGGGAACTCTACCCATGTGTTACCTCATCATTAAATGACTTTTTTTCCCATGAACGGTAAAATCTAGGTTCTCTGGCAATGCAGTTCTAGCACATCAACTTCTGGCAAGACCCCAGTGGCCTCTGCTGTGTGTCTTCCAAAGGCAAACACCAGAACTCATTGATCTTGGCATTTGTCTAGAAGCTTCCCCGGTGCTATTGTGTGTCCAAAAGCACACTGATAGAATCTAGCACCTTTATTTTAGGTACGCAATTGATCAAATACAGTGGTACTTTTCTTTTGCTCTCTTTGCTGAATTTCTGCACTGCATTGCAGTTATGCTCCCAGCTCCTGAGAAATTCAAATGGCAAGACTCTTCCATTTGCAGTAGTACTGAAACTTGGGTGTTACTCTTGTTCCAACAAACAGAGCTAGCAGCTGAAACCTTCTCTTCAGTTCATTTCATTTCAAGCTAATAACAAGCGTAGGAGTAGGAATAAGTAGCAGCAAGCACATATTTGGCAGAAGAAATACTGAACCACATGTCCTGGCTTTTGTCAGACTGTCCCTTATTTTAAAGCCATACAGCCTGACAAGATCCGTTCCTCCTGTGCAGCTTCCAACAACAGATAGACGTGTAACATGCATTGTAATCATGCACTACACCCAAGTGTACTACAGCCTGTGTTGATATCCAACATGGGAAAATGTGTCTCCTGCACAAATCACAAAATAAGAGTTTACTAAATTGCTCTGCACACCTTTCGATCACTGGGAGATCTCAATTTGCAGTGGGTCACTCAATAGCAAACCCAGAGGATTTTTCCTTCAGTATTAATGCACAATTTGGCAATTCTGTTAGGCCGCACAGACTTGCTGATCTTCCAGAATAATTCTCCTCTGCTGCAGCTCTCCTTGTATCCTCCATGGAAATCTACCTCTGTGCTGCCAGTGAGTAAGAGCTGTCATTTGGCTTGTTTTACAGGCTAAAGCAAAGGAGACTAAGAGTTCTTACTATGAACTTTTCTATAAGCAAGGACTAACAGAACTGACTAGGTATAGAGTACCGTTGCGGAAGTTGATATGTTTGCAAAATGCAAGCAATGCTGTCTCAAAAAGGGAAGAAATTAAAGACAAAAACTGCACGTTTTGGTATTGTTAAGAGTAATGCCATGTGGCTTCTAATGTACACAGACACCTACCTCACTAGGCATGCAATAGAAGAAAACATGCAAGTCACTTGATTCAAAGTTCTTAAATAATACCCCTTTTAACTGCTAGCCTTTGCTCTAGAACTGTTCATGTTTTAAAAGATTATTGGTTTGTTGCTGAGCTAAAGCAAATCCCAAATTTGGAAGTACAATAAGATCCTCTGCCTTGTCTTACTTTAAATACCTCTTCTAGCACTGGTACTTGAGCTGATGCTAATGAAGTACAAATTTCCAAATGTGAAACTCTGGGGAATATCTGACATACTGCTTTTGTAATAATCTGCTACAAAATCAAAATGTTAATTTGGGGATTAAGTATAAATTTATTCCCACTACAGGTCATCAAAAATCTTCACAGAAGCCTTCTAATTAACATTTAACATAGGTATTTTAATTATGTTTATCTGGGTTAGATTTATTCAGCAATTTTTTCGTTCTTTGTGGGAGCAGCCATCTTTTGAAACAAATGCACTGATATGCATTTACTGTTGAAGAGTAACACTAAGTCTCTTATTTCTTTTTCACAGCTAACCAGGTGCTGAAGTTTGGAACACTCGTCAGTACTTCCAACACCTATGATGGCTCTGGGACTGTGACTATCGAGACAGACAAACCTTTGCTGTGGACAATGGCTATCAAAAGATAAGATCAGCTACAGCTGCCTTTTCTGATCCAACACAACTCCAATTACTGCAAAATTTCACTGAATTAAGACAGTAAAGCTGTTCCAAAAAATATAAGCAGGTATTGATTTTATGTATCAAATGGAAAACAAGTCTGAAATAAAAGTTACTTGAGATCCAATCGAAATTACTTGCAATAATAGAGTACTTCATTCTGGTACCTCACACTACCTAAGCAGAAGACACATGAGCAGCCACCCAGTACAGTCACAAACAAAAATGAATGTAAAGAAACTACTACTGCTTATCTGGTTAGTCCAGACTACTTTTGCAAAGTATTTTATTGCAATACCGAACTATTTTTCCCCTTTTTGCCAAAAGAAAATACAGTACCCAGTTGCACATAGTGTCACTGTATTACAAGGTGATAGCACTGGGATTAGTTAATCTCATTTTTCTGTCCTGGTTTGTAACATATGTAGCTGCTGGTGAAGATTTCTCAAGAAGAATAATAGTTGAACTTTTCTACTTAGGAAACAAGTTTGTGTACTGAAAAAGCTTCAGTTTTCCTGTAATATCAGTATCAGATTTCCAAGCATTAGGTGCTTCTAAAATCTGTAATAGAAGTACCACTGTAGCTTCTGCAAAGACTAAATGCTTACAATAAGCTTTCCGGAGTGAAATAAATTTCTTAATCTCAATCTGAGGAGGAATAGCATTGCACCTTCTAGTTTTTGCTGCCTTAGTTCTTAAAATCAAAATGTTCACTCATTTAATAATAAAAACTTCCAGGTCAACATGCAGAGCCCTTTATAATTCTGTGTGCAGAAGAGTATCCAAAATGGTTGTATATCCTATCCAACAGTGTGAGGAAGTTGCAGATTTGCAGAAGGACTGCATAGCATCTCTGAGAACTAAATTATCCTCAAATGGTACATCTCAGTAACCAACTAAGTTTGGCTTTTTTAATTATGCCATCGGAATAAGGACTGGCCATGCAAGTTCTTCATTTGGTGGAGGATTTTTCCAGTCAAGTACATAATATAACCTAGCAGGACTTCCAAATGCAGAAAGGAATTAGTGATAATGATGGTGATTCTAGAAATTAGTGACAAGAATTTCAGTTGATAAGACTTTTAAATTACCACCTGAAAGGATACAGGAATGCTGTTTTCTTGCTGTCTGCTTTTGCTGGAACAATGCTGTTCCTATGCTTAATTTACCACTTAGTAAACAGCTCCTGAAGAGAGGTCATACAGTTGTCATCCTTGGAGGCTTCCAATATCTCACTGAACAAAGCTTAAAGCAATCTTGTCAGAACGCAACACTGACCCAGCGAGGAGCAGGACATTGGACTAGAGACCTCCCAAGCTTCCTTCCTACCTGAATGATTCTACTACGGTTAAAAGATGTAACAAAACAAACAAAAGGCACTACTACTAAAAAAGAATAATATAGACAGGTATGATCACATACACTTTAAAAGACAAATAAGGTGACAACAGTGTTTGAAAACCCAAACTGAGCTTGTTTAATATCAAGCAAATTAAAGCTGTGAAATCTTTGCAGCAGGTGTCACAACTGTCTTCTTCTTCTTCATGATGAATATTCAGCCACCTCTGTCGAGAGAACAAAGTAATCAGTTTCAGCTAATCAAGTGATCCCACCTGAAGTCTAATTTATCCTCCCACCACTGCATTGCTAGGACAACCTTTACTACCATTGCAGGTTATCTCCTATTTTCAAACACTTCTCCTTGCCTGCAGGACCACTCTTACAGGTATAAGCAAGCCACACATCATGGTCGAAGAATAGTACTTAACCTCTTCCAGTGCTAGAAAGGGCATTACATCAGCTCTGAATAATAAGAGGAGTTTTAACTGGTAGTGTTAATGGGTCAGTACCATGGTGCCAGTCAACTTAAGGGTCAAGATTTTTCTGCTGCAACATTCATTCCAAAAGGGATTTTACAGAATACAGTTACACATAAAACAAAGTTTCAAACACATCTAGCAGTGAGTAAATGAAACAAGACCAATTTTGTTCTGTGCTCTGTCATCCTGCAGGACACCCACTCAGTTTTCTCTACCTTACCATCTGTTTACTTTGGATACCCAGATTATAAACTGGAAATTGTGAGACTATAAGATCCAAATAAAGTAAATGTTCTACAGTCAAACACACACTGAGGAACTGGAAATGAAAATATCTGAAGTTCACTTTTGAAGCAGAATACTCAGAAAAAAAAATGAAGATCTACAGATCTAATATTTTGCAGCATGCTAAATTAACAACCTACTTGCTGATTAAGTTCTTTGAATCAAGTAACTCCTGTTACATATGACACTAACATGTGAAATGCAGACACTAAAGCAACATGGATCCTGACATCCTCTGTTTAAAAATGAACAGGTAAAAATTTAGTGAATTTGAAGGTCATATTTACTTACACAATTATATTGTTGATTGGGATATGGATCAATTTGACAAAGAAACCAATAAATCCCATTATTGCAAAGCCTATTGCTGTTGCCATGGCAATCTTCTGGAACTCTGCAAAAACAAAACCAAAAAAAATTTGTCTAAGAAGCCCCATGTACTGGCATATAGATGTGCATTGCAGTGACCACAGGAGAGGTATTTCTTTAGAGAATAATGGTAACACAGGAAATTGTTCTGGAAATAGTCACTGCAGTGATCCTGAGAAACAAATCCACTTTTTCAGAAGACAGATGATAATTTTAAGAGAGAAGGTGCTGCTTTCCACAAAGAATGGCCAATCACAATTTTTTTAAGTAGCAAAATCAGAAATATCCACAATCCATGGCAATTCATGAAACATTTTTTCCATTATCTTTCCTTTACAACCCTACAAGCCCTGAAAATAATCCCCAATACAGTATCAAAAATATAAAAGCTCCATTTATGTCTGTCACAGAAGGACAGCACGTTAAGTCCCCACAAAAATTGAGTACTTGCAATATTTTCAATTATTTTAAGACAGCAACCATGAAGTGGACTAAGAAGGTCAACAAACCTGCCAGTCTGATCATGAATGAAGTTCCCTACTGATCTCAAAAGATGCCAGTAAACTTAGAGTCATAGAATTGTTCATTCTTAGCACATGAATAAAGCACTGTAAATATTAACATTAAGGATGATCAGTTGCATTCTGGTTACACTTATAGCTTCTCTCTAATGCCTTTGAGAAAGTCCAAAACCTCCTCTTCTATACTCCCAACAACAGAATTATTCCCGTCCCAATTAGGCAGTGTCTGACAACTGTGGAGCACTGAATGGGCACTACAAAAAGCAATTCTGGCTCCATTCAAGTCTCCTAAAATAAAGTCTTTTCCACTAGAATTTCCTCCAAGCTGACTGCAATCAGTCACATCTGACTGCTTCATTTGTCACTTCAAAGTGCGCACAAGTTCTTTTCAGATCAGTTTACTTAATACATGAAAAGCATTGCTTGCCTGTCTCAAAATGGCTAATTTCAGCTACTTAGCCTGTTTCATAATGTGAGTTTTACTTCCACTCACACATCTATGTATGTACCAGAAAAGAACACATCCAAGTTTATTACATCCAGAACCATAAATCCTTTAACATTTAGACAACTGCTCAAGTTTAAATCTCATACTGGCAGATGAGAAACATTCACAGCAAATTAATCAACAGAAGTGACATATGGAAAGACACGTGGTAAGATATAAGATGAAATAAATATTGGGTTCTGGTTTATTGTGTGCTTTACCTTTCCTGTCAGGCTTGGTGCATCTTTTAACAAGTCGTATGGAGTCTTTCACAAACTGACGGCTGGGTTCCACAAATTGCATTACCTGATCCATGATTACCTGCAAAGGTGAATGCATTTAGCATTGATGGTTGCACATATATATACTGCAAAACAGAATTTTTTAATTACAGAAATAGCAGTTACCTACAAAATTTGTAAAGACTTAAGATAACTTAAAATTTCATATTCCAACCTAAGTGGATACCTCCACTTTGCAGAAAATGAAGAGACTGTATCAGTAAACAAACATGAGGGCCTACTTCTGACTGAAAAAAAAAATAGGAAAAATGATGCCTTTCGGCACAGAAAACAACAGCTCCATCAGATTTTCCTCTCAGCTTATGTCCTACGCCGCGTTTCAGAAAACACCGCTGAAGGTGTCTGAACAGGCAGAAGTCGCCGGTTTCAAGAAGCGCCCCCAGCCCAAAGCTGCACCGGGGGAACGCTGTGGCCGCGTCTCATTCTCACAGCAAACAAGTGCCAGCACTGCCACCCGCGCAGGACCCCCGCCTGGGGGGATCCGCTGGCATGAACTCGCACGGACCCCCGATATCTCATAAGATGCCGGACCCTCCCGCCTCTCCCAGCGCATCCCCTCCCCCCACGCTGCGGCCGAGGCCGGCCCTGCCCGCCGCAGCTCCCCCGCCACCTCCGGCCTCGGCCTCGGTCCCGGCGCCCTCCTGGGGCTCAGTGGCCCTGCTGCCCGACTCCTCGTGCCCGCCTCCCCGGGCGGGAGGACGCCCGGAATCCCCCCTAAATGCCCCTCGCCCTCACCGCCCGCGCCGCCGGCCCAGGGACACGTCGCACACAGCAGCGGAGGCGGGGCTGTGACGTCACCGCGCCGCGCGCGGAGCTGCGCGCCTTTCCGGCGGCGGGGGTGGGTTTTGAGGGGAAAAGGGAGGATTGTGAGGGTGGGGGGTTGGTCGTGTTTTGTTTTGGTTTGGTTTGGTTTTTTTCTTCCGGTTTCCGGGACTCCTCTGAGGGTCTCTGACGATACATTTGCTTTCCATGCGGTTGTAGCCTTGGGATCCAAGAACCTCGTAGCCGGAAATAAAGGGAAGAAAGTACCAATGTTGTTCTCCCAGGCAACAAGCGACAGGAGAGAGGACGTAGTCTTAAGCTGCACCAGGGAACGTTTAGGTTGGGCATTGGGGGGGATTTCTTCATAGAAAGAGTGGTTAGACATTGGAATGGGCTGCAAGTCACCGTCCCTGGAGGTGTTTTAGGAAAGGCTGGACGTGGCACTCAGAGCCATGGTCTAGTTGACATGGATATATTCCGTCATAGGTTGGACTCGATGATCTCAGAGGCATTTTCCAACCTAACTGATTCTGTGGATATGCCTGAAACAAATGCTGTGCAATGCAGGGATGGCAAAAAACGA